CCTGATCCTCTACCGCTGTCAGAGGAGTCACTGTGTGCACGTGCAGGACAACTGTACTCTGTCTGTACTGTTAGAACAGCTCACAAGATCACAAGGACCTTATCGCCCTACACCCTAGTGAGGACTTATCTTGGTGAGCAGATGATGAAACCAATGTCTTTCCACCCCAGCTTGATTGGCTTACACTGCATAGGGAAGGAGCTGGTCACTGACAGTGTCCATTCACCCTGGTTCCCACAGCCATCCAGTGCCCTGGGGCTCTTGGGAGGTAGGATGGGTGTGTTGTGGTTTGCAGAGGCAGGAGAAATCTTGGACTGTGTGCATGGGAGAACATGAACATGCAAGCACAAGAGTGTGTCCGTGTGAGGTTCTGGGTGCCTGGCAGTGAGTCTAGACGAGAGTGTATGGAGAGGCCAGAGCTTGTGTGTGCAAGTGTGTGTGTGTGTACACGTGTGTCCATGTATCCAGTGCTGGCTACTCCAGTCCTTGACTGAGTCAGCTATGGTATCAGCTCTGGGAAGCCACCCTGACCTCCCTGCCCCTCATCGCTCAGTCTCTCCTGGGCCCTTGTGTCTTGGACACAGTGCAGTCACTGCCTGACCCACTTTACTGAATCAGTCAGCACTGGTACCTCTGTTCCCATAATGGACAGAGCCCTTAGTTCCTGTCTTCAGAGCTGGCATGGGACCCATGCTTGTGCAATGAACTTGCACTTGTGTCTGTGTCTACGTGTGAAGCACTTGACATACGTTGGAGGGTGTCAGAGCATGTGTTTGGGGGAGCTGGGGTTTCTCTCTGACAAAGCTAGAACACCCACTCTGTTTGGATTATGGAGGGGCCTGTTCTCCTCCCAGTTGTCTCAACCACAGGCCTAATCAGGTGACAAAGTACAGTCCATCTCTCGTGTGCTCACTGGCAGGCCCAGGGTTAGCCAGAATGCTTTTCCTCTTTGGTGTGGTGAAAGCTTCTATCCCTTAGCTAGAAGGACACAAGCTGCTTTGGGGCGTCACCTCCTGCCTCCACTTAATCACTTGGAACTAAGATCTCTGCCTTTCCTGTCCTCTCAAATGGTCCTAGGTGTGTTCGAAATTGCCAGGCCATGGCTGCCCAAGGGGGGCAGCCCCGTCCTCCACACACTTCTGCATGTATGATGTTCTGTCTCACCTCAGGTTCAAAGTAATGGAGCCAGTGCATCTTGGACTGAATCCCCTACAGCAGAGAGAGGTCAGGGGTCTGGGAAGACATGGAGTGCTTTGGTTCTGGTTCTTGGAAGTTGGAAGTTGCACCCAAGAAGACTAAGTGCCAGCACCTGTGACCCAGATGCTGAAGATATGCACACCAGACAAAATCTTGGGAGGAGAATGAATAAGAATTGATGAGGAAATACTAGCTTTGCATCTAGGTGAGGGGAGACCTTAGGAAAACAGCTTGAATTTCCTGCAGGTCTGGAGGAATGAGAACTCAGAATTGAAATTAAGCTCAATAAAATAAGTAAATATGACCAAAAAATGACAAGCCAACCTTAAAGTTCCATGTCCCTTCCCAACTTTCCAAGCACGAGGCCCAAGTCTTCAGTCCTGGAAGTCTACGCCATTCTCTCCGGTGATGACTCTTACCTGTCTTTACTTGTCCTGTCTTCTACATACCTACCACCTAGAGCCCCACGCTCATTTCCTCTTGGGAAGAGCTCCCTATTATCTAAATACTTGTTTCCAACTTTACAGTATGAAACCTCCTCTTCTCCTCCACTGACAAGTCCAGAGAGGGAAAGAATGGAGCTTAATGGTATCAGGTCAGGACCAGCCCCACCACTGACTAGATTTTTCAACCTCTGACACATGTACCAGGCAAGGTTCAGGAATGTATAACAGGAATAAGGAAGAAATGTGGGCGGCAGATTTGCTAAACCACAGGGAATGGTGCATAACCCCAGATCAGTAATGGTAGGCTAATGGACCTAGAGGATGGGAGAGAATACTTTCTAAGGAGGAGACTACAGTTACTTCATGGGAAGGCAGGGAAACTGGGGAGGTACGTGCCCAGCATCAATCTCATCGAGTCTCCCATGGGTGCCAGGCCAAACCCTGCAGAAGCAATGGGCCAAGGCCTTCAGCCTCTGGCCCTGGAGCAGAATGAAGAAGGGTAGAGAAGGGGGCTGGGAGTGGCCACAGCAACCTCGTCTGTACAACAGCCTATCCATCCTCCCTTTCGTCCCAGCTGTCACAACAGGAAGGCAAACAGTGTACACGAGGTGCTAAATGCTGTTCCCGCACAATGTCTCTCTGTGGATTTTAAAGATTAGTTGGCATCTCAAACTTTGCCTGTCCCAGACTGAACCCTTGAATTTCTCCCTCCCTCCATTTTGTTGTTGTTGTTGTCAGTACTGGGGTTTGAACTCAGGGCTTCACATTTGTTAAGCAGGTGCTCTACCACTTGAGCCACTCTGCCAGCCCTTTTTAAGGTGGGTCTGGGGTTTGAACTCAGAGCTTTATACTTGCAAAGCAGGCACTCTACTGCTTGAGCCACACCTCCAGCCCATGTTGGGTATTTTTGAGACAGGGTTTCTTGAATTATTTTCCCAGGCTGGCCTGGACTGGCTTTGAACTGTAATCCTCCTGATCTCTGCCTCCTGGCTAGGATTACAAGTGTGAGCCATGACACCCAGCTCCTCCCTCCATTTCAAACCTACTTTCTCACTAGTCTCAGTGAGCAGCAGGCACTATCACCTACCCAACTACTCAAGTTGGAACAGAAGCTCCCTTAAAATTGACCTTTGCTCCCCACTTCCTTTTTGCCCTTCTGCTCCTCCCCAATCCTTTGGCAGAAGAGAAGTCCCACTTTCTTTAGATTCACAGAACCTAGATGGCCTTTGTAACATCTTTTTATAACTAGCTTAGGAAGTCTAAGTCCATTGAAATGTTCTGGAGGAGGCACATGCCCTTGCTGACAAAAACCCCATCCAGCCTGTGGCCTCACTGCCTCCTTGCCTCCCCTCAAAAACCCTTTCCACTGGGCACTGGTGGCTTATACCTATAATCCTAGCTACTTGGCATCTGGAGGATTGGGACAGAGAGTTCAGGATATCCCTATCTTAACCAATAGCTGGATGCAGTGGCTTACGTCTCTGTCATTGCAAGCTACCCTGGAGGCTGAGAACAGGAGGATCAAGGTTTCGGACCAGCCTGAGCAAAAAAGTTTGCAAGACCCCAAGTCAACAGGAAAAAAAAAGCTGTGCATGGTGGCACACGCCTGTCATCCCAGTGGTGGAGGATCGTGGTTCAGGCTGGCCTGGGCAAAAAGCTAGACTCTATCTACAAAATAACCAGAGCAAAAAGGACTAGAGTTTTGGCTCAAGCATTACAACGCCTACCTCTCAACTTTTTCCTGCACTTCCACATACACCATTATCTTCCCACCTGGATTACTCCTAAATCCTCATCTGCTTCCTGTATCTGTTATTGACTCTCTACTCACTGGCCGGAAGGACCTAAAGCATCAGTTGGATCATGTCCTTGCCACAAATACAAAGCCCTAGTCAGGTCCCCAGTTTCACCATGGGTCATGCCTCTCTACTCCAGGTGTGTGGCCACATTGCAGCTCTTCTCAAAGCCTTGTCATATATTTCCACCTCACAGAAAACTCCTTGCTCCCTTTGCCCCTGCTGGTTCCTTCTTGCCCTTCAAATCTCAATTTAAATATAACCAAAGAAGTCCGCCCCCACCACTTTGTCTAAAATACATTCCCTTCTTCTCCATATTGGCCTCTCTGTCCCAGTATCATGACCAATTCCTTACTAGCACTACACAGGATGTAGCTTTACATGTATTCCTTTGATACTTAGTTAGTCTGTCTCTCTACTGTGCTGGAAAGGCCCTGTCTGCTTTGCTTGCCACTGTATTCTCAGAGCCTGGCACAGAATAGGTTCTCAATAAATACTAGACAGTGAGCTGGGCACCAGTAGCTCACAACTATAATCTTAGCTACTGAGGAGGCAGAGATCAGGAGGATCTCAATTTGCGGCCAGAAGGGGCAAATAGTTTGGGAGGCCCTATCTCAAAAAAAACCCATCACAAAAAAGGGATGGTGGACTGGCTCAAGGTGTAGGCTCTGAGTTCAAGCCCCAGTCTGCAAATAAATAAATACGAGCCAGTGACAAGCAGGCAAATGGTAGCCAATGTTATATGATAAGGCCTGCAAAGCCCTTCCAGAGAATCCCACTGTTTCATCTAGGCTGTATTACACCCACAGCTATAGTTACCCAAACGCAGTGCGGGTGAATTGCCGTGGGACTGCCCCCACACTATCCAAAGATGGGAACAGGTGGAATTCAAAAGAAAGAAGCCCTAAATGCCAGAGTGATCAGCGCAAAACATTTATTAAGGGAACTTACATGCAAGGGGCTTCAGTGTTCCCTTAATGTTCTAACTAGGCATGTCTGTAAGGAGGGAGTTGGGTTGCTGAGTTTAAGTGAGGGCTGGGGTGGGGCTGGCTTCTATGTGTTTAGTGGAGTGGTTGATTAGCAATAACCTAAACACGCTTATCAGTAGTGCCTGGAATGTTCAAGGCCCCAGCTTAGTTCACAGAGTAGTCTCTGCATTTCTTGGTTAGGACACAGAAACAAATGGGGGGAACCAAGGGACCCTGTACCCACCACACTATCAAAGTATTCCCCCTTTCTTCAGGCTCCAGTCCCTATCCTAAAACCCCTGCTTCCTAGTTTGGTCTAAGATTCACTTCAGAAAAGTACAAAGGAAAAATGGGTATCACTGGATAAAAAAAAAAATCTCTATTCAACTTTATGACCAGACAGCGCAAGTGGATTGAAATTGATCAGGAAAAACAGATGAGCTAGGGGAATGGCAAAGACAGTGGCAGAGAGCTGGCAGGTCTGGGGGCAGGATTCTGTGTGGGGACAGGGGTGCCTTCTGGGTGTGCCCCTTTTCTATTCTCTGGCTCTCTTAGATAAGGCCAGCAGTTTTGTCATTCTGTCCTCTCAGTTCACGGTCTGGCAGCCCCAGTCCCACACTTTGGAAGCATGTCAATCCAGGAGAATATTCTACCCCAGCAGCTTTGGTCATGGATTTCTCAGTCCCAAAAAGACTTAGCAAAGTCTGTCCTAACTGGGGCTCCAGGAGGTAAGAAGAGGAACAGAAGCCACTGAGCAGAGATGGGAGGGCAAATAAGAGTATAAGTCAGGAGTGGGGGTAGAGGGATTTGGGGAGGACATTCATCAGAGTATCCTGTGTTAAATATGGACCCTGGTCTGAGTCTCTTGTTCAGGCCTTATTGGAAGGCCAAAGGGGAACCTAAAGTGTGGGAGCCACAGGGAACTCCCGTGCTTCCTGGACTCTGGCCCCTGGTGTACAAGACTTCCATTGGCTGGAGAGACACTTGTTGGTGACAGTTTAACCAGTCCCCAGGGCTGATCCTCACTCCAGCAGGGCCTTTTGCCTCTGAGAGTGCCACAGCGTGAAGCAGATCCACAGAGACGGGGTAGGCGTGCAGTGGCATGGAAGGTGCGGCTGCACTGGGGTTCCCTGGGGTGGCTGGGTCAAGCTACAGGGTCTCCTGGGCCTGGAGCAATAGCATTGAGTAGGCTGGGGACACCAGCTAATTGCCAGGGGTTGGAAGGAAATAAACAGGGACCTTAGGATACAGAACTTGGGTGATTCCTGGGCTAGATACTGAGGTGCCACTGTGAACTAAACATCAAGGGAGAATGAAGCTGAAGGACGTCAGCAGCTTAAGGGCGAGATGTCTGGGGTTGTCAGGGGTCAGTATGTCTAGGTGATCAAGAACTTGAGCCTAGGGTTGGTCAGACCAAGATTTGAATCCCATCTCTTTTACTTAGAAGCTGCATGAACTTGGGCAATTTAATCCATCTTTCTCAACTTCTATTTCCTTATTTGTGAAACTGAGGATAATTACAGAGTATTTGACAGTATCTGCTTTATAGGACCCTTGGAACTAAATAAAATAATGTGTGCATGATGCCTAGCTGAAAGGAAGGCCTCCACACAAACTGGAGAGCTGAGAGAGGGAATATGGGTACACTGAGGTGAAGCATGTCAAGGAAAGGCAGGTGCCATGCAGCCCCTGAGCCCCCTTCTGCTGCAGGGCCTGCAGGGTACCTGCGGCGTGCTAGTGTGGCCCAACTGACCCAGGAGCTGGGCACCGCCTTCTTCCAGCAGCAGCAGCTGTCAGCTGCTATGGCGGACACCTTCCTGGAACACCTGTGCCTGCTGGACATCGACTCGGAGCCCGTGGCTGCTCGCAGCACTGGCATCATTGCCACCATTGGTAAGACCACCTACCCCCTTGCAACCTTGCACAGCATTTTGGGTGGGTCTCAAGGTGTTTCTTCATTTTTGTCTCCTTTCAGATTTTCCCATGTTTAATACGGTCATTCATTCAACCAATATTTGTTGGTACCTACCTAGTAGACAAGGTCTAGGATTTGAGGTAGATTAGTGAATAAAACAGACAACTCTCCTGAGCTGACAGCCTCTGGGGGTGGGGGGATAATGAATAATGAATGATAAATTATTAAAAAGTAAGTAAATCAGTCAATGTGTTAAAAGATTGATAAATACTGTGGAGAAAAGAGAAAACAGAGCATGGTAAGGGTATCAGGAGTGTGAGAATAGGAGGCAGGGTGCAGTCCTAAACCAGGAGGTCAAGGAAGCCATTACTGAGAAAGGGAGAATTAGCTCTACAGATACCTGGAGGAAGAGAGTTCTAAGCAAAGGGAACAGTCAGTGCCAAGACCCCAAGTCAAGGAGGCTAGAATAGCTAGAAACCATTGAGGGGCAAGAGCAGGAGACAAAAGGAGGCTGGGGAAGGGATGATCAGGTGGAATTCTGCAGGCCAGTTTTAGAATTCGAGTTGTGTTTTCCTCTAAGTGAAAGGGGAAACTGTAGAGTTTTAAGCAGGTAGGGGTGGGTGGAGGACAGCAAGCTCTTATTTATATTTTAACCAAATCGCCCTGGTTCCTGGATTGAAAATAGATTAAGAGGACTGGGTGAGGCCCAGGACAGAAGCCAGTCCTGCAGTACTTCCAGCTCAGTCCAGATGATGGCAGTGGAGGTGGCCAGAAGTGATTGGATGATCTTGATTGCATTTTGAAGATAGAGCTGACAGGATTTCTCAATAGATTTTTGGGGGGTGGGGGTGGGGGGAGGAATGGCCCAAACAATGCATGCACATATGAGTAAGTGAATAAAGAAACAAGCAGATTGTCGGATGGATATGTGGTGGGGGTGAGAGTGCAGAAGAAAGGAGTCAAGGCTGACTGCAAGGTTTTTGGCATGAGGAACGAGAAGCAGCATTATCCACTGCGCAGGAAGATTGTAGTGGGCAAGCTGGGGAGATCAGGGGTTCAGCTGGGAAGCATACTAAACATCCAAGGGTGATAGAGAGTAAGTAGTCAGATACACAGCTCTAGGACTGAGAGAAAGTTCTGGAATGGAGATGTAAAATAGGAGTCATCTTGGTATTTCAAGTCATGAGAATAGCTAAGGTCACCAAAGGAATGAAGGAAAAATGACACATGGTGATGTAGCTCAGTGGCAGAGCATATGCTTATCATGTGCAAGTCCCTGGATTTGATCCCCAGTACCAAAAATAAAATTAAAAATTAAAAAACAGCAGAGATGCTGAGCAGCGCCAGTGGCTCACGCCTGTAATCCTAGCTACTCAGGAGGCAAAGTTCAGGAGGATAGCAGTTTAAAGCCAACCCTGGGCAAATAGTTTGCAAGACCCTATCTTGAAAAAACCCTTTATAAAAAAGAGCTGGTGGAATGGCTCAAGGTGAAGACCTTGAGTTCAAGCCCCAGTACCACAAAATAATAAATAAATAAAAATGACATCTACCCTTAAGGGGAGGAAGAAAGGAGACTGAGAAGGAGCTGCCAGTGAGGTGTAAAAGTAAGAGATGGTGGGTTCTGGAGGCCAAGTAAAGAAGGTGTGGTCACGAAGGCCTGATGTAGGACTGGGGTGTGCTCAGCGGTAGAGTGCAGGGGCCCTGGAGGAGGAGGAAGAGGGATATATGTACCAAATACTGCTGATGGTCTACATAGGTGAGGACTCAGCTCTCAGACTTAAAGAAAATCTCTGCTTTAAAGTCTGGTGCCTTTTCCCTAAATACCCTCACCTGCCATTCACCCCTGCCCTACCCTCCCCCGCATACCCTGAATTAACCCCAGTGCAACACTATGTCACTTGCCAACGATTACCTCAGGCCTGACTGACATCCTCCTCAAAGATCCCCAGTCCAAAAGGAGTTTGTGACCTTGAGTGCAAGGGTTGCATCAGGGAATAAAGGTTAGGTAACAGGACTCCTGTGGTGTGGCAGCTGTAAAGGTGGTGACAGATTTGGTTGTCTCTCGAGTCTGAGCGGAATCTCTGGTTCCAGGGCCGGCATCTCGCTCGGTGGAGCGCCTCAAAGAGATGATCAAGGCCGGGATGAACATCGCACGACTCAATTTCTCCCACGGCTCCCATGAGGTGCAGGGAGGTTGGGTGGAGGGTGGGGCTGGAGGATGCTCGGGATCCTGGCCACCTTCCCCTGAAATTCCCGTTCCACCCTCGTTCCCAGTACCATGCCGAGTCCATTGTCAATATCCGGGAGGCAGCGGAGAGCTTTGCAACTTCCCCTCTCAGTTACCGGCCTGTAGCCATCGCTCTGGACACCAAGGGACCGGAGATACGCACTGGGATCCTGCAGGGGGTGAGAGGCGGGGCTGGGCGGGCTGGATCTGGGGCTGGGACAAGGGGGCCTGAGCGCACAGGGGCGATTGGGCGGGGCCCAGGGGGCGGAGCTTGGAGGCCGGACCCCGCGTGGTGAGCGCAACCCTCACAGGCCTCTGGCTCCGCCCTCAGGGCCCAGCGTCGGAAGTGGAGATAGTAAAGGGCACCCAGGTGCTGGTGACCGTGGACCCGGCGTTCCGGACACGGGGGAACGCGAACACCGTGTGGGTGGACTACCCCAATATCATCCGGGTCGTTGCAGTGGGGGGCCGCATCTACATTGACGACGGGCTCATCTCCCTAGTGGTCCAGAAAATCGGTGCGGACGCGCCTCCCGCCCTGACCACACCCAGTACTGGGCACGTTCTCTTCCCTTTGGTTTCCCCATTCGCCTTTAGGCCAACCACACCTTTCCCTGGCCACGCATACTTCCTCTCCCGTCCCAGGAGTCCCCAGCATCTGGACTCTTGCCCTCACCATGGGTTGGGCCTGGACTTTGCAGAGGTCCACCTGGTGCCTCCTCTCAGTGTTGGGGGGAGGGGGACTCAGAACAAGGGCGGAGAGTTGAGAAGGACATGGTTCTCTTGAGGGATTCAAGCCCAGAGTTACCTCTGCCATGACTATGGCCTGGCCTTGCGCTGATGGAAGCTGGCTCTCTCCATGCCCACAGGCTCAGATGGGTTGGTGACCGAAGTGGAGAATGGCGGTGTCCTGGGCAGCAGGAAGGGCGTTAACCTACCAGGCGCCGAAGTAGACCTACCTGGGCTGTCCGAGCAAGATGTCCAGGACTTGCGCTTCGGGGTGGAGCATGGTGTGGACATCATCTTTGCCTCCTTTGTGCGAAAAGCCAGCGATGTGGCAGCCGTCCGGGCTGCCCTGGGGCCAGAGGGGCAAAGCATCAAAATTGTCAGCAAAATCGAGAACCATGAAGGCGTAAAGAAGTGAGGCTTGGTTTTTATTCCTGTCAGACCCTATAACCATTCCCTACTGCCCCTTTCTGCCTGCTGTCTCTGGCATCTCCTGGCCCTGCCCCAGCCCTCATTCTTCCCAACTGCCTAGGTTTGATGAAATTCTAGAGGTGAGCGATGGCATCATGGTGGCACGGGGAGACCTGGGCATTGAGATTCCAGCTGAGAAGGTTTTCCTGGCTCAGAAGATGATGATAGGACGCTGCAACTTGGCAGGAAAGCCTGTTGTATGCGCTACACAGGTCTGGAGTGAGCCCTTGGAGTTGGGGTATCTGGGGTTTTTTTTAGGGAAACTGAGGCCAAATACCCACACCTTAGCTCTATAGCACACTTTGCTGTCCACTGTTTCATCCTCAAACAGTGCAGCTAGGTAGAAATACTGTGATGTGACCCTATTTTCAGATAAGAAAACTGAACTATGAGGATCAAACAGTTTGTGACTGTGATCCTGGATTTCAGGACACTTTGTGAATGTGGGTGTCAAGAGAAGCAGCTTGAGTCATGGTCCCCAATCAGACTCCTATAGTTCTGATGTCCACCATGTCCCCAGATGCTGGAGAGCATGGTCACCAAGGCTCGGCCAACTCGGGCAGAAACGAGTGATGTAGCTAACGCTGTGCTGGATGGGGCCGACTGCATCATGCTGTCTGGGGAGACGGCCAAAGGCAACTACCCTGTGGAAGCCGTAAAGATGCAGCATGCGGTAGGAGCTCAGAATGAAAGGCAAATGGGTCAGGGAACCAAGCCCCTTGAGGACCCTGTTGCCCCTGCGCATCCTGACATCCTGGTGTCTACAGATTGCCCGGGAGGCAGAGGCTGCAGTGTACCACCGACAGCTTTTTGAGGAATTACGCCGGGCGGCGCCACTGAGCCGTGACCCCACTGAGGTCACTGCCATTGGTGCTGTGGAGGCTTCCTTCAAATGCTGTGCTGCTGCCATCATCGTGCTGACCACAACAGGCCGGTAAGGGGCACACTGGGAAGCCCCATCAGGACTTTGGTCAGGAGGAGGTGGGATTGGACACAGGCCTGGGTATTGTCTGTTGGTCAGGAATGAAGAGAATTGGTCTAGGGCAAGAAGAGAAGTGACTAGTGAAGGCTAGAATCCAGGGAAGACAGATCTTGTGTGACAGGACCTATGCCAGTGATCTTCAGTGGACTGGCAGGGGACAATGACATCACTAGGAACATTGACTTCAGGACACTTAGACTTTTAGGACTGAGAGAGCCTTGTATGCAGAGATATTACAGAAGGGCCCAGTACATCTGAGTTCAAATCTGTTCTGAAATTAAGCAATGAGATCCTGGATAACTTACCTGTGCTCTATAAACCTGCTGTGTCTCCTCCAGTCTGTGTGAGATAGTCATTTATTCTCCCATGGGATTGTGAGGATTAACAAAAGAAATTAAGTATTACATGTGTATTTATTGAGTACATTCTCTAGAGAGTTTTATATTTTTTTTTTTGGTGGGGGGTGGGACTAGGGTTGAACTCGGGACTTTGCACTTACAAAGTGCTTTTATGTTTCTTAAAGATGTTCCCTCATTATCTCACTTGGTATGTACTCATATGGAGGGAAGACAGGTATTCTTACACTCATTTTACAGGTGACAGAAGTATGATAACATGTCCAGGGTTACATAGTTTGTTGGTGACACCTGGAACTAGAAATCAAACTCTTATTTCCTGGTTCAATATCCTTTCAATGTTCTGTGCTGACCTTCTCTTCCTCCTCCAGCTCAGCCCAACTTCTGTCTCGATACCGACCTCGGGCAGCAGTCATTGCTGTCACCCGCTCTGCTCAGGCCGCCCGCCAGGTCACCCTCTGCCGAGGAGTCTTCCCTTTGCTCTACCGTGAACCTCCAGAGGCCATCTGGGCAGATGATGTGGATCATAGGGTGCAATTTGGCATTGAAAGTGGTAAGCCTCCTAGATCTTCCTCCACCCCTTCCTTGGCATTTGTATCAGGAGTCCCTCAGCCTGGCTTCTTGTACCCACTCAAAGGGCCTTGCCTATCCCTTCTGGCCTCAGAATTTCCCTGTGAGTCACTAAAACTGAGAAGAATCCTGGACTTTAAGCAGAAGAGGGTGGGACACTAGTGCTCATGCCTGTAATCCTAGCTACTTTAGAGGCAGAGAGCAGAAGGCTGAAGGTTCAAAGTGAGCCCAGGCAAATAGTTTATGAGATCCTATCTCAAGAATACCCAGCAGGAAAAAGGGCTGGCAGACTGGCTCAAGTGGTAGAGCGCATGCCTAGCACAGCAAGGGTGAGGCCCCGTGTCTGAGTTCAAATGTGAGTACCACAAAAAAGAAGGGAAAAAAAAAAAAAACCAGGGGAGGTTAAGCTGAAGGAGGAAGGAAGAGGGAGGAAGGAAGAGGGGCGTTCCCTAAGAAGTCACTCCAACTGCTACTTGCACTAGAGCTCACTATGACATAGGAGCAAGGAGTAAGAGGAAAGAGTGGAACAACTGGAACTAAAAATTTACAACTGTCATATGATTACACCTGACCTCTTCCTGTCAGCACAGCCACACAGGTGGACAGGCTTGCTACTTAGCAGTGACACACCCCATTCTGCTCCACGGACACACTACTGTGGTTACCTTTCCAGAAGTGCCACCATCTCAGACTCCTCATTCCCAATGGGGTAGCCTTGAGATGGTAGAGGGTGGTGGCTGCGTCTCACTATTATAGGGCTGGCCTTGGTCCCTCGATGACTGACATCTTCCTTTTCCCCCTGCAGGAAAGCTCCGTGGCTTCCTCCGTGTTGGAGATCTGGTGATTGTGGTGACAGGCTGGCGACCTGGCTCCGGCTATACTAACATCATGCGGGTGCTGAGTGTATCCTGAAATGTCCTCCTCTTCTGACCTAGCCCACCTCTGCATCCCTGTCACTTCCTCCCACTCCCCTGCTTCCAATCCGTGCCCTTCCCACAGCCCCACCCCTAATCTCTCTACTCCCACCCTCCCTATTTTAGACCACATCTGCCATTTATCCCTATTCCAGGATGTCCCTCCCCCTCTCCCTTTCACAGGCCCCAAAAGTCTCTGTCCAATTACACAGCACCAATTGTACATCCCCTGCATCCAATCCAATCATCTGGGCCTAAGATGCCTTGAGCCTTTAATCCCTGCTTGGCTGATTAATTCTATTCCTCCAGGCTTTCCATCCCTGGGGCTGGGGACAGGAGACAAGGCCATCTTGTCCAGTATCTCCACAGAATCATTTTAAAACACTTTGTATTCATGCAGTCTGATGTTCTCCTGTGTGGCCCTCCTGATCATCTCCTGAGCAGTGTCATCTCCTCCTGATGGTCTCAAGACAGGGCAGGCTACCCCTTCATGGTGACTGATAGTGACACCAAGTGCCACACTTTGGAGAAAGCTGGGATGGACAGATGCTGAGTAGAACTGAGAGACAGGTGGCTTGCTCTTGTCACTGACTTCACAACCTCAGTGCTGGGCTTTTAGACTGCTCCCATTCTCATGTCTGGCACATGCCTTGCTGGGTCAAATGCTTCCCCTGCATCCAGAAATTCCTTCACACCCATCTTGTTCCCGCACACAAATCAGGAGCCAAAATGAGTCTCTCTAGTTTCTTTTTAAACCCAACTGTTTAGGAACAATTATAAAAACTTCCCACATACCAAGAACCCAGAACTCCGCACCCAGGACAAAAGGAGATTTAGGGTCCTGGCCCCACATTCTTTGATGCTGCAGATAGGAAAGGGGACAGCATTGGTGGACAGGGCTTACTCTTGTCCCTGAGAAGGCAGAGTGGCTTGCTGGCCTGCCCTTATCTGTTCGTAGATGCCACAGGCCTTCCCCTTACTCACGCACCAGCAGCGTACTCAGTAGGGAAAAACCCAAAGTAAACACAGTCTTCTTCTGGGTTGGCCCCTTGTGCCACTACCTAGATAGGGAAAGGGTTTGAGTATTGCTGCTGATGGCATTGCATAAGGACCACAGAGCTGGCATTGAGGGGCCTTGCCTCCTCCTGTTCCTCCCATCTCCCTACCAGGAAGGGGGAAGGACAGACAAAGGAATGGGTACACAAAATGAACTGACAATAAGTCAAAATAGTAAATGAGTAAATAAAATCAATATATGATAATAAATAAGACAAATAAATAGAGGGAAAAAAGAAAGGTCACATAAAGTTTCAGCCACCTGCCCCCAACCTGGGGCACACTACATAAGGAGATGCTGAGTGTCCCTTAGCATTAAAGGGGACATCACTGGGGCAGGGGCAGAGGGAAGAGGCAGCTCCCAGTTTATAAAGACACTTTTACCACACAGAGACTGCAGAGAACTTGGTGAGAGATGTGTGTTCCTACACCGTGCAGACAGGAAGGGTCCACAGATGGCAGTAAGAAGGGCCAAAGATGGATGCCCATGCTCAGGACCCGAGACATTTTTTGGCAGTAATGGGGGCACAAGTAATTGACAGTGCCCCGCTATGCTAAGGGGACAGGAAGATAAACACTCCAGGCAGAACCTGCAGGGTCGCAGGCAGGGGAACAGAGATGTCTGGTTACTTGGCAGTGATGGCAGTGGCAAGTACTTGTAGTAGTTAGGTAGGGTCATGCGCCCAGGCCTGCACCTGGCAGGACTGTGGCCAGGGGAATACCTTTTCAAAGGCTCTGAGTCACTTCTACTTGGCAGTGAAGACATACAGTGCCTGGCACAGTGACTTGAACATGGTAGGTACTTAGTACATATGACAAATGGGTGAATGGATTAGGATGTCAGACAGGCTGGGGCTACTTAGGCTGAGGACACAGAACATCTTCATGGTGATAAGGGGAGGCATTCCCATAGGGCAGTGTTTCAGGTCCCCCTGGTCTTTTCCAAGGGGCATCTGCCCTTGGGCACACACTATTGCACCCTAAGAGCTAAGGCCAGTGTAACCAAAGATTTCACATATTGGCAGAGAGCTGGGGACCCCGGGGGGTGGCTGGATCAGGTGCTGATGGCCTGGGGGGCTGGGCTGTCCCTGGAGGCTTGGCCAGGAGCCCTGAGGGAGGCAGGCGCTCACTTCCTGAGCCCTTACGCCCAGGAGAGCCATCACCTGTTGCCCGCTGAGGCAGAGATGGTTGGGAGGCTGAGAGTGGGCGACCCCGAGGTCCTAGCCGCCTTCCACCTCCTCCTGGCGGGGGGCCAAGCAGAGACACCTGGGAGCGCCCTGCCCGTGATAGGCTGGCATGGAGTGTTCGGGCAGGAGGGACAGGTAGACGAGAGGTTGATGCCCAAGGCCCCCGAGCCAGCAGAGGGCCAGCTCTGACAGGCACCAGTGGGGAGGCTGGGGAGCCTGCTGAGCGGCGAGCAGAACGAGCAAGGAGGGTGGCTGGAGAATCAGGGGAAAGGGGCAGAGGACCCCGCTGGTGAGTCAGGGCTATGGCCACATTGGAGGTCACCGCTGCTGCCTGTAGGGGCACATGTACCAGTGGTTCCCACAGCACTGGCTTTCCACTGAGCCGGGCTCCTGTGCCCGGAGCCAGGCCACGAATACCCCGAGCCATGTCTCTGTCGTGTTGCACCAGATGCTGCTCCATGATGCCACCACTGCTGCCTGGACTTGGCTCAGAGCGCTTCCGCTGCAGTATGGAGTTCTTCTTGCCTAGAAGGTGTCCCAGAGCAAAGTTAGAATAGGGAAGGAATCCAAGATGGAAGCTGGACATCAAAGAGTGTGAGGGTAACAAGATGGAGTGGAGGGTGGGGGATGGGAGTCGGGAGTATGAAGCTGGTACTAGAGAATGTTAGAAGATGGGGTCAAGCCGGGTGCTGGTGGCTCACACTTGTAATCCTAGCTACTTGGGAGGCCAAGATCTGGACCACAGTTCCAGGCTAGCCTGGGTTAAAAAAAAGTTCATGAGACCCCATCTCAATAGAAAAAAGCTGGGCGTTGTGATGTGCATATGTCATCTCAGCTACAGTGGGAAGAATAAAATAGGAGGCTGGCCTGGAAAAAAGTAAGACCCTACCTCCAAAATAACCAGAGCAAAAAGGGCTGGAGGCGTAGCTCAAGAGGTAGAGTGCCTGCCTGGCAAGTGTGAAGCTCTGTGTACAAACCCTAGTACTGCCAGAAAAATAAAAGAAGAAGCTGGGGTTGGAGGAAGAGTATGAATCAGAGACAGGTTCAGAAGCTGGTACTCAGGAGAAGGACTCAGGGCGTGAGGACAGGAGTGTAACACACCGAGGGATAAAGATAGTGTGTCACGGTTGGCGGTATTTCCTGGGAATGTGGATTGGATTGTAACAGCAAAGCACAGAGCCTGGCTCCCTGATACGGAGATGGTAAGGTCAGCGGGCCCGGGGCAGACCCGGTGGACAGGCCTCACCAATGCGGCGCAGCCGGTCCATGGCCACGGTCTCAAAAGCCCGGCGCATCATGGGGAACTCCTCGAGCACAGCATTGAAATGGTCCACACTGAGTGAGTAGAGGCGGCAGTAGGTGTCGGCCCTCACACTGGCTGTGCGTCGGCCCCGAGTCAGCAAGCAGATTTCTGTAGAAGGTGGGAAGAAGCTTAGAATCCCTGTCCCCAAAGTTCCCTCTCACTAGGTCTGTAGGAGATGACCCAACATTCTCAGAGCCTTCCCTAGACTTGGGAGAAACTAGTAATGACCCCCTACCCCAAGGTCCCTAAATACTCTAAAAAAAAAAGCATTCTCTCTCTCTCCAGACCTGCACAATTTCTGGATGTCTGCTCCCTGCCTTCCCACTCTCTCCAAACTAAAGCTGACAAATAGGCAGGTTTTGCTGGCCCCCAGACTCCCAGTTACTGCACTCCACTCTAACTCCCAACCCTACTGCCTATCTCCAGGGCGAGATCTAGGGCAACTTGCTCTTTGCACCCTCCCCTCCCATCCCTTTGAATGAACACCAAGGAGCTCCCTGAAGGAGAAAGCAGAGCAAAAGGGGACCAAGCAGAATGTGAGGGAGATACTGGAGGGTGGTAGGTGGCTTGGGGCTGAGAGGTTATATGAGCCCTCTCACTCCAGGCAGCAGCTGTCAGATCTGCCCCCACTACCACAGGCTGGGTCCCTGCATCATACCACCAGGGCAGCTCCCCAAAGCTTCATTCCTATCTTCCTCTCAACTTGTAAGACCTTTGGATTTCACTAATTAGGAATCCTAAAAGGAAGTCTGGCACAGTAGTTTGAAACCTGGCCGTACACATTGGAATTTCCTGAGACCTTTTAAAAATGCGGAGATTGCCACTGGGTAGGCCTGGGGAGGGTCTGGAACGCTATGATTCTGTAGTATAGTTAGGTGGGGACCCTGATCCTAGGGAGTAGTTGCCCTCTGTCCAGTGCTTGTGATCTCCCCACCCTCCCTGAGCCTTGCTGACCCCCAAAGTAGGATCCATCAGTGAGGCGGGTGTCCCGGGCGCCACGTGCCAGCACGCTGAGCAGCCCATGCTGGATGAAGTACATCTTCCTGCCCACGGAGCCCTCACGCACCACGAGGTCCCCTGGCTGGAAGACCTCAAAGCGTAGCTTGGTGAGCACCGCGGTGACGAAGCTGGGGTCAGCGTGTGCAAACAGTGGCATGTGGGCCACTAGGCCCCGGCAGGTGAAGTTAATGATTTCCTGGGCAGAGGAGGGGCCTGTCAGGCAGGCTGTGCCCCCTGCCCCAAGATGCCCCCACCCAGCTCATCTGTCTCTAGAAGCCCCAGTCCTGGGATCAAGATCTGGAAGAGGCTGGGGATGCTGCAGTAGGCCTGGGACCATCCCCAAGCTCCTGCCTTTAGAGACCCTCATGGAACCATTCCCCCAAATAGAAATCCCTACAGCCTCTATATACTTTATCGCTATAAGACCTTTAAAAAAGACCCTAGCTCCATAAACCCCCCCACAAATCCCTGGCCTCCCATAGGGTCCTCTGCAGGCCTTATTTCCTATAAGAGCACAGCTGACCAACCCTCCTGCCCTCAAGACAGCACCCCTGGAAGCCAGATCCTTGAAGAGACCCCCTTGGGGTCCATCCCGGTCCCACCTCTCGCAACGGCTCGCTTAGCTCGCCCAGTATGCTTTCCTCATCGAACATCTTGCCCTGGTAGCGGTGTTCATAGTACTCGTGGATACGCTGCCGCGTGTCAGCTGGCAACTTGTGGAAGGACATGTACTGCTCCACCTGCTTGTACTGGAGGGCCAACCCGTTGCCAGGAGGAAAAGGACACAGACAGATGTGGAAAAGTGGAGGGGTGGGGTGGAAGGTCATATACA